CTGGTTTCAAAGTTGTGTGATCGCTAACGTCTATTCCTAGGTTAATAGGTCCTACACTTTCTAGTAGGCCTTTGTCCTACAAATCCTTTATTCTTTGGTTTAGGGTTAGGCACATGTTTAGGCTGGTTAGTGGCAGGGACAAAAGTGGTCTTTGAAGTACTCGCAGTATTGTGATTATTCTCTTTAAAACCTAGACCTCCCCTATTACCAGCCGACTTGCTCATTCCTAGGATGCTATCTAGCTTTAACAAACTACTAGAAAAGGCAAGAAGTTGACATTTAGAATACTCAATGTAGCTTAGAAGGTTCTTAACCTGGATTTCTAACCTCTCATTCTCAATAGTCAGTGCACAAGCTTTCTTGGAGGACTTTTCAAGCTCACTAGTAAGATTCTTAACCTGAGTATCTAAGGATTCATTTACAAACTTTAACTAAGGGATGCGGTAGATTCCAGAAGTTTAGTTATAAGTTTTTCTTCTCCAGCTCAAGTTCTTTGACCTTCGTACCTAAGGCTTTGTTAGTGGTTATAATCCTAAGACTCTCCTCATAGATTTTATCATAAGCCTCATAAATATCTCCCTTGTTGCCAGAATCTTATTTTGATTGCTCACCATTATCTATGTCCTTAGCCTTCTTACTCTCTTTATCGGATCCACTCCTAATCTTAGCAGTGAAGGTAATAAACTTTCTGCTCTCCTCATGAGTGGTTTCTAAGATATCCCAAACATTTTTAGCAACCTCGCACATCGACACACGCCTAAACTCTTCAGGTGATACTGCTATAAATAGAGCATGTATGACTTTACTATTCCAATTGCACTCATCTAAGTTCATTTTAGTCCAATTAGCAACAAGAGGGGAGTTACTACATTATCGATTGTAGTACTAGGGGTAGTCCAACCATTAACTACACTCAACCAAATTCGTTCATCCATAGATTTAAGGAAAACTCTCATCCTAACTCTTTAATTTGCATAATTACTGCCATCAAAATATGGCGAGATGGACAAGGAACTACTCATCTTGACAAATAAGGTCAGGAAACGTATTAAGGCTCTGATACCAACTGTAAAGTCGTTCTAAAACGCTCTGATACCACTTGTGAAATTCTTGAAATGCTATGATTCTCAAATTAAATGTTCTAGATTATTTATTAGTTTTACCTTACTTGTGGAATTTAAAATTAAAAGCAACGTGTCACTTATTAATTGTTTCTAGATGATTAAGCATATAAGTTTAGTTATCCTATGTTTGAATGTTGCAGTTTGTAGTATGAAAGTAGTAAATAACACCAGATATGTTGACAGAGAAATCCCAACTGTGTAAAAACTCTAGGACCAAGCCAGTTACCTCCACTATAAACAATGAGCCTTACAGTTAGATGCTACCTAACCAACTCCACTAGACCTTTTGATCTACTTCCTGTAGTCTCCAAGATCTACTGACTTTACCAGCTTCCCGATCATCTCCAATTGACTCTTTTAAAGGAATTCCAAGAATAACCAATTCTTGTGCTTTTCTAGTGCTTGTAGTCCACATCTCCCAATGCCCAACTGAGAGAGTACCTTCCTTATGGTGTTAAGGAAGTCAAGTGTTTTGGATTCAAGGATTTGATGTTTTTCCAAATATGTGGTTGTATAATCTCAAGAACCAAATGATTGAAATCAAGGTTTGAATGTGCTCTTGGATCTTCAAAGAATGATATAGAGGAAACACAATGAACAACTATACTTTTGGACCTTCATAGGATATGATATATATAGGGAAAAGTGTTTGGGATGAAAAGAGATTGAAAAGCCAACTGTTTGAAGCAAAATAGAATTTTGGTTGTTGACCTGTTGCTTTAGCGATAGGCTAGTGACAGGTGGGCAACAACTAAGCAATTGTCAGTATTCTTATCATAACTTTCTCTCCCAATATCTGATTGAGGTGATTCAAAATGCGTTGGAAAGCTAACTCAAAAGATTACAATTTTTCTAAATATATTTGTCCAAATTCCTATGTTTTCTCTATGAAAACAGTGTTGCAATTTATGACTGAGAATTCGGAATATAACTTGTGCGACTTTTTAATATTCTTTAGACTTCTAATTGCATTCCAATGGTCATATGTGATCTTGTTGGACATTTTGGACACCTTCAAGGACTATTCTACCAACCCCAAATCTTTTGCTATTATTAGGACTCAATAATTTCACTTTGATTACAATATCTTAGTAGACTCCTTGATTTTTATATTAATCTTTTTGTCTAAAGAATTGCCAATTCAATAGAAACCTAACACAAAGGAAATTTTTTTGACATAAAAAAAAAAAAAAAAAAGATGAAATTTTATACCATGATAGAGCATTCATCTTATACATAACACATCAAGAAAATGTAGATGGAATCTTCATGGTGACAGTAATGAGGTTGTTAACATGGAGGGAAACATGCTTGATGGAAAAGAAAAGTGTAGAAATATTTATTATTTTCTATGGTAGACATTTTGGTGATTATTGCAGAACTTTCTACTCCCTAATCGGACATTGTAAATATGCAAGAATCTCTAAAATAAAACATCATAAAATCTTAAATAATTTCACATTTTCTCCACCAATAATGTCTCTCTTCATGTCAATTACCTCATTATTTTCCCATAAAAACTTCCATTTATATGCTTTTCAACTCTTATGTATAAAATGAAGACATTTACAACCTTACTGACACCGAGTCCGATGTCAGTATATTTTTAGTCCTTCTTTACTATGCATGCCGTAGAAATAGTTATATTTATATCCGCACATTTCACTAAATTTAAATTTATTATTCATATTGTTTATGATCAATAATATTGTTGCTTAATATATATATATATATATAAATTCATATTGTTTATGATCAATAATATTGTTGCTTAATATATATATATATATATATATATATATATATATATATTATTTATTTGTTTGTATTTTTTATTTTTTATATATAGTTGCTATAAAATGTTCACTAATAGAATTAAGAAGCTCACCCAAGTTGACGACCATGTTTTGCCAATCCCAAATGTAAGTGTTATGAAATTTTATTCTTCATTGATCTATCTAGAAATCAATTCTGCTACAGTTTGGCTTTCATGAGATTTGTAAAAATGTTACACCTAATCTTTAATCATCAAATTGTATTCGACAGTTGGGAATCAAGATGATACATACATTCGAAATGGAGAGTGGAACTTCAATAACAAGGTTTATTTTGTAATTATATAACCTTAAATGCAAATTTACTTACAATTTTTCTTCTTTCATTTGCTTATTTAATAACAATAGATGCACTTCTAATCCAATTTTTGTTCATGAAGTTTGCCATTCATATTTACCATTTGCAGTTAATACTTCGACAGGGTTATAAATGGCAAATTACGATCCCAGAATTCTTAGTCTGTTAGGCCATTTAGTTTTGTTGGATTGCCAAATGTTTCGATATATATATGAATCCATTGTACGACTGCTTCATACGATACATTCGTACATGTAAAACCATCTTCTTATCCAACAAAGTAAATGACATAACATACCTAGAATGTTGAAAATTTTATTAAACTTAAACTTTACATAATTGCCAAGATATTTATGTCAAATCACAAAAAAAAAAAAAAAAAAAAAAAATTAAATGGGGAACATACCTTAATCCATTGATTTGTATCTTGGATATTAAATCTTGAAGCTTGAATTACAATCCTTTAATCTTGACTTCTAAATCTTTAATCTTGATTCTTGATTATAGATTCTTTAATTCTTCAATCTTTCTTCTTGATTTTTGGATTCCTTTATATGAGTTTTGGATTTTCCTTTTCAATACGCTTTCTCTTTTAATTCTCGTATTGATGGGATGTCACATAGAATGAGAAATTGCATATGAATTGTGGACTATAACCCTATATATAGTTTCTATAAGTATTTTACCCCTCATAAAATAGAATTCTAAATGAATCTGATTTCTACACATATAATATGGCCCACACATTATTTAGATATTTAAAACCCAATTACTTAATTCTATATTATATCATTTTAATTTTTGGCTTCACTTTAAGACGTTCTTTATATACAATTAATTATATATATCGGTCCATTAGATAAATTAATATTTTTCCCAAAAATATACCACTTTGGTCACATATGCTACCTTATAAATGTTTATAATCATATGAGCTCAAAACTTTTGCTATTATAACCAAAAGGCATCGCTGAACAATCTCATCCATCAATTATGTTAATATAGGATCAAAATAGTCTTTGTTACAAATATCATAAATAAATCCATCAATGATCATGTATATCAACACAATCAAATGACATAGATCAAATGTGGACGTGTAACATGAAAATTACATGTAATGTAATCTAAATATATGTCTATTTTCTGGTCATACCTTATTCTCTAATACATTTTACTTTAATAAGATCAAACCAAAACTTTTAATCAGAGTGAAAATTGAATTGATACTTTATTACTAAAATAAACTTGAATCTGCACATTAAACAAAATCCAAACTTACAAACTTCCATTAAAGTAGCATATCATCAAAAAATAAAATACTCATGTGAATAGTATGGTCATGAAAGACCTTAAGTGGTAGTCCTTTAGTAAATGGATCTGCTATCACGGAGTTTGTCCCAATATGTTCTATAGCAACCTGATCACTTTGAAGTTTTTCTTTAACAATTGGGAATTTGATATCTATAAATTTAGACTTTGTTGAACTTCTATTATTATTTGAATACAAGACTGCTGACTTATTGTCATAAAATAACTTAAGTGGTCTTTCAATTCCATTCAAAATTCGCAGCCTAATGACAAAATTTTGTAGCCATATTATTGATTGGATGCCTCATAACATAGCACTCTTCCAAAATATAACTCCTCGAGTAGGCAGAAAGACATGGCTTGATGTGGATTTTCAACTATTTTAACATCGAGAAAAATCAGAATCAAAATAACCAATGATGTCCAATTGGTCTAATTTCCTGTATGTGAGCATGTAATCTTTATTCTCTGTAAATACTGCATAAACCGTTTGGTTGCTTTCCTATGATCTATTCCAGGGTTGCTTAGATATCTGTCTAGCATTCCAACAATGAATGCTATATTCGAACGTATGCATACTTGAACATACATCAAATTTCCAACTGTTGAATGATAGAGACTTTTTTGCATTTCACTTTCTTTAGGATCATTCTTAAGGCATTGATTGTGACTATATTTTTCCTCTTTAGCAACAAGGTTATCTCCTGGTTTGCAATCTTGCATTCCATATATCTTAAGTAGCTTATCGATATAGCTCTTTTGTGATAATTTAAGAATATCCCGAGAACAGTCCCAATGTGTCTGTATTCATAATACAAAAAAGAAATCACCAAAATCTTTTATTTCAAAATTTTTGATAGAAATCTCTTAGTTTCATTCAATAAGAATATATCATTGCAGACTAACAGTATGCCATCGACATACAATACTAAAATATATATTTACTCCCACTAAATTTGTGATATACACAATCATCAACTGCATTTATCTCAAAACTAAATGAGATAAATATTTGATAAAATTTATGATATCATTGATGGGAAGTTTGTTTAAACCCATAGATAGATTTCTTTAATTTGTAAAATATTTTCTTTGGGTCTCCCAACGAAAAGCTTTCGAGTTGTACCCTATAAATTGTCTCTTCAATGTCATCATTGAGAAATGTTGTCTTTATATCCATTAGATGTAGCTCAAGGTCAAAATATGCTACAAGTGCCATAATAATTTTGAAAGAGCCTTTCATTGAAATAGGGGAGAAAGTTTCTTTGTATAACACCCCAAGTTCTAGCAACTTGACGGGTTACAAAACATGAATTTATTAAAGTGCTTGAAACAATAATTTTAATATACCAAGAAATTCTGTAAAAATCGAACAACCTGTAACAAAAGGTAAATTAAATTTAATAAAATATGCGAACATTTTTTGAATCATATCTTTCATCAAACATTAATAAAACTAGTTCTAACAAATAATAAAATTAAGGCTAATTGAAAATTATAAAGTTACTCACAATTGAGTCTAAAGAAATAATCAAATGTTATGAAAAATTATAGTGTTCATAAAAATTAAATTACATCATGGCGAGGATCTCTCGGTCCAATAGCATATCTACCCACCGCCGTTCAACATACTAGTTTTTGCCTGAAATTTGTAAATAAAAAGGGATGAGTATAACGAATTATACTCAATGAGATGCTTTCTAATCCACATTCAAATCAAACATGAAATTATGCATAAATTCTCTTACCAACATAACATGAGAATTATCATACCATGACAAATGATAATTCTAGCAGGCACTGCAAAGTAACGTGAAGGTTAAATTGTGCTTTGAAAATAACATGAAGGCTGAATTGTGCCTTAAAATGTATCATAATTTCTCTCGAAGGAGCTCTGAACTGAAGTAATTAAATTCATACATAACAACGTATTTGAAAGATGTGGAAAAATCACTAATAGCACTGAGTATCTCACCTTTTGAAGATGAATATGGAGAACAAAATTGCAGAAAACGTGATTCTTTATTGCAATTCAAAAGTCTTAATAATATGGAGAAATATTTTAAAGAGGGAGAGAGAATAGACGTGAAGCAGAATACTTGAGGTTCACTGCTGTATATATATTAAACTGAAGCATATCGTAATTCGTAACCGTAGTATATTCTCGTGAGTCTTATGACAGAAATGGAATTTCACTAACTTTGGAATTCTAAATTTTCCATCTATGCATTTCCCAGAAATTGATTTGGTATCCTAGACTCCCGTTTGTTGTAATTTGATTGGAGGATTCTATTTGTTTTGATAAGTCTCAAATCAACTATAATTGTAATAAAGAGACAATAATTGCTTGGGTTATACATATTTTATTCTAATACAAACGACAACTTAAATAAATAAATAAATAAATAATCCCCTATCTTTGATTAAATCCAAAATAAATGGCAGAGTGCTTCAAATGAAATTTCTATACAACTTAACTAGTTTAATTAATTAAAGTCCTAACTATTCTAATACTAAAATTATTAGATAACTTTATCATAATTGAAATCCTACAAGATTAGGAATTCACAATTAATTTCTATTCTAATCAAAATAGATTAGTTTTACAAAGTGACTAATTATTATCAAAAACCAATAGCTTGACAAACCAAACAAATCGACAAAACAGAAAATGAATGAATTTAAATTACCCTTAATTCCATTTTTCATAAATTCCTTTAGACCACTATAACTCGGGTTTAACTTAACCAAATTAAATTTTTCTTGACTCCATGGTTCGTAATTTATTACGAGCTTCAAAATGAGCCCCATATTGATAGGGTAATTCTAACTCATTCAATAGTTAACTATTTGACCCATTTAACAAAAGTATAAAATTTGGAACTTATTTTCACTTTGGTCCCTCGACTATAAAGATATCCATATAGATCCAAATTAACCATAGAGATAATCAATTAACTTGCATAAGGATTTAGCTGAACATTGCATTCCTATTAAATCGCAAATAAATTATATGTAAACTAACTAAAAAAATTTGGGATTCTACACTTTGTAACCAATGCATTTCCTTTGGGTAAAGCTCATTGCAACAAGACAAGCATTATATCTTTTCATATTACCTTTCAAATCCCTCTTAGTTTATAATATTCATTTGCATCCAATGAGTTTCGTACCTTTAGGTAACGAGACAAGTTTCCAAACGTCGTTGTCTTTCATATACTTTATGTCCTCATTCATGGCATCAATCTGCTTTTGAGAATTATCACTTTGCATTGCTTGATGAAAGCTGATTGGATCTTTATCTATCAATCAAATGCCGTCCTCCTGCTCTTGGAGAAATACTATAAAATCATATAGAATTTGGAATTGATGCGACAAGAAATGAGTATCAAGTTGTTGGGTGGATGTTCTTCTTCATCATCAAGGCCTAATAAAATTTATGCAAAATCTATAAGGCACTTGAAGCAATTCATAAAAGTAACTATTTTAGCACACTTACTAATAAAAAAGAAAAACAAAAACAAGGAAAGAGAACAAAAAGATAATATAATTAACTGAAAAATAAAGTCATTTAACAGAATAATAGGTAAACATTCAATCGAGAAACCTTTGTTATTTGACAAAAATACAGGACAACCTCATGCAAACTCTTTGGGACTGTTTCGTATTACTTTTGCTTTCTATAAAAGGAACTTTTGGAAGAAGCTACATTAATGATTATTTGAAAACTAATTTTTGAAAGTACTTTATATTTCGAAAGTCTCACTGAACCAATTTTCTCAAAAAACTCTTTTAATTGACAAAAGCACTTTCATAAAATTAGTTAAAACGATTCAAAAGCTATTTTTGCATCTCAAAAGCTCCTTTTGACTTTTCAAAAGTTGTGTCAAATATGCCTTTTATCTATTAGTAACAGAAATTAATTAAATCCACCATGTAGCAATATTTAGAACATACATTAACCAAAATTAATGAACAACAAATGCAATATTCAAACCTTAAAATTACTTCAATATGAGAAATCTTTGGCCACTCAGAATTAGGACCGCTATCTTGCTTGCACCTCTCTCTCAACAATGGACATGAAGAAATAATTAATATTCTTAATTTGGTGAGTCGTTGCATAGCTTCTTTAGATGGCAGATGCCTAAGCTTTTCACAAGACGATAGTTTTAATACTTCAAGAGATGACAAATTCCCAAACCAATCGGGCAATTCTTCCATTCCAAAATCCCATATTGACAAATTTTTTGGGGAAGTAACATGTTGAAGTTGATCTGGTAGAGAGACCCAATCCACTTGACCTCGTAAGCTTAAAATCTCAAGGGATTTTATGTGTTCAATACCATCGAGAAAATCTTGAAATGAATTAAACTGGACTGACTTCGAGAATTTCCCAATCCTTAATTCTATTAAGCTGTTAGGACATCCAATCCCACTCAATTTAGGAAACGAAGTAAGATTATCGCATCCGATTACAATTAGTTTCTGTAGAGATTGCATCCCACTCAATTTAGGAAGAGAAGTGAGATTCGGGCATTTCGACACAGTTAGACTCTGTAGAGACTTACTACACTCTAACATTTCGTTTGGCAGGTTGCTCAACTCATAGCAATTTTCAATGTTCAATCTCCGAAGGGAAAGGAGGCCTTTTTGTCCATTTTGATATGGAATTGATTGCAGATTTCTACAATCTTTTATTCTCAATGTCTCAAGAGATTGGAGGCTGCCAAAGTCGTAGGGTAATTCCCTCAATTCAGGACAAGAACCAATGGTCATTTCTTTAAGAGAAGCTCCGCTGCCCCGCAAGGGAGGAACATGAGCCAACTTATCAAAAAAAGATATATCCAAACATTCAAGGCAAGGGAATACCTGAATTCTACTCATTCGTGCTTCTTCCCACTCTGTTAGGTTTGGCATGCTATATGTTATGAGGCGTTTAAGTGACGGGAATGATAATTTTATGTCTTGGCCATCGTTGCTGCTAGTTGCTTTGCAATCACTCTCTCCATAAAATGATGGTCTTATCGATCTTAAGTTTCCCAAACTTTGGAGACTTAGATACTTGAGGTGTTGTAGGTGGCCAAGCATAGGGATTTCTTCACATTCGAAGCAATTAATAATTCTGAACTCAATCAATTTATCAAATATCACCAGAGGGCCACCAATAACTTTACATATTCCCATATTTCTAGTCCAAAATGGAAAGTTTTTACCTCGGAATCCTTCAATGATTAGTCTTTTTAGCTTTTCATGAGGTTGCAGCCCTTCAAGTATACTCTCATCATCGATGTTACTTTCTGTAGAATACATTGACCCTCCCCAATAAAAGGTAAGATCATAAATGTCTAGCTTTCCGGCCATATCTGCTTGCTCAGCTTCTGTTTTGCAGCTCACCAATTCCAGATTCCGTATTTCTAGCTTGCCCTTAAGTTTCTTCAACTTTCCTAGCTGATCGATTCGACATCCTTCCTTGTCACTCACAGAAAATAATGGTAATGTTTGAAGGTGAGATAAACTGCCAATTTTAGGTGGCATCTCAAAATCACCTTGAAAAAGAACATAAAAATAGATATGCCTCAAATGAATCAAGAATTGCATATCTCTAGGAAGCCTTCGAGATCCTGAAAAGCGGAGAGAAGTGCTTAAGGTTTGCAAATTGTAAAGCTTACAAATAGATTCTGGCAAAGTAGTGAGCTCATAATTTTCGGACACATCAAGATATCTCAAATGTTTCAACGTGCCAATTGATGTTGGCAATTCTTCAATATTTGCATGACATAGCTTTAGAGAATGCAAATGCTTGACGTACGACAAAACTTCATCTGGTACGCTGCTTCTCAAGAACAATGTGCGGAGATAACTGGCTGTCTCTTTTATGTGCTTGCGTGTTTCTTCTCCATTTGAATCTATTGCAAGGTGTCTAAGTTGAAGAATGTCATCAGCAGTGTGATCATCCATATTCATGGGACTTTTTGATTTCGAAACTAAAAGTGCGAGATCATGGACAAGATCGTGCATCTTGCAGCTTTTGATATTGCCATAGTCGTCCTTTTCGGGCTCTTGGAAGAAGAAATTTTGCAACAAAATATTAAAAAATTGATTGCCTGTAGTCTCCATCTCGCTTTCTTTATTATTCAGAAGAAATCCTTCCGCCATCCAGAGCTGGATTAAGTCTTCTCTCCTCATGACCGAATCCTTGACAAATAGTGAACAAAAGGAAAAACATTTTTTCAGTGATGAATAAGGTAAGCGATCATAGCTTACCTTTAAGACTTGCAACACACCCTTTTCACCCTCTTCAAGATTTGAAAGCCCATTCCGTAGGATTGAGTCCCACTCTTCTATTTCCTTTCCTTGCAAAACTCTTCCAATCACATTTGCTGCTAGAGGTAAACCTCTACATTTGCGAGCAATCTCCAACCCGGTAATCGCGAATTGATTTGGTACTTCTTTATCTTGAAATACCATTGTTCTGATTATGGACCAGCATTCATCGTCTGTTAATAACCTCAAATTACATGGAAGTTCAAAAGTCTTCACAATAGATGCCACCTTTTCCTTGCGTGTGGTGACGATAATGCAATTTCCTTTATTGGAGCTAGCTCCCACCAGAGTATTTTTGAAAGCATTCCAAACACCCTCTTCTTCATTCCATAAATCATCGAGAACAAGTAAGTATCTTTTGTCTTTTAATTCCTCATGAATCTTTTGAACAACAGCTTGCTTGCTACCTCCACCAGAATCTTTGCCCAATAATTCTAGGATCCTTTTGAAGAGCGTCAGCTCATCAAAATTTTCTGATACACAAACCCAAATCCTTTTGTTGAAATGGGTTTCTGTACGATGGTGATTGTAGATTTTGCGTGCTAAAGTCGTCTTGCCAAGCCCTCCCATTCCAACTATGGGAAGGACTGTAAGAAAATTATTGATCGAGCTGGTTATCGTCTCTAAAATTTTTGATTCATCAATATCTCTTCCAATGACAATTGGATCAACAGTGAAGCTTGTAGTCTCTATGATCAAAGGCGTTGCAAGACGATTATCTTTAACTCTGTTGAGGCCAAGGCTATCTGCTTCATTGTTTAACCTTTTGAAGTTGGCATTTATGTCCTTGATTTTGTGAGCCATCTCCCGTTGAAATGTCAAAGTGGTATTAGTACAGCAAAAGATGTTTAAGCACCGCATTGGCTTAATCTCGTCAGGCATCTCTATTGGACGACGCAAATCTTCATATTTGATCTCATCCAAAACAATGTCAGCATCATATGCAGCATCCTCGAGGTCTTTGAGCCAGCTATTAACACCCTTATCGTTTTCATACCTTGCAGCATCTTCCAAGACTTGGTTGACCTTTACCAAGTATTTTTTTAGGTTTGCTAGTTCGTTCTTGAAACCACGCACAAGATTGATTTCTCCAGCAGCAACAGCAAACAACTTCTCCAGTATAAACTTTACGCCTTCAATAGCCACAGCTTCCATTTTTCTTACTTTGGGAATTTGGTGTGAGTGAGTGATTGATTTGAGGAGCTAAAGAAAGAGAGAGGTAAATACAGATTGCAAAGTGGAGTTGTTTGTGGTGTACGGATCGTAACAAGTAGTAAAGTGGACCTTTTGAGTCCGGATTATCGTTCCCACGAGGACTATACTTTAATACTCAATTTATTATTCCTAACTTCTATTTGACGAAAATAAACGAGAAAAGTGATTGGTTGTGACTTTTAAAGCTAGCTACTTAAAAATGTGCGAATTGATGCAACAGAAAATGATCGAGAGTTCAAATAATAAAGGGACTTTAGGGCGGAACAATTTCACTTAATGGTCACCCTTTACTTCGTAAATCAAGATTCATATAACCTAAAGTAATGTTCGATCGAATTCTTCTATGGTATTCAACTTACCCCTCTCGAGTTCTCGTTGAGCCTATTTAATTAGTTCAATTCCATATCTCTATGCAAATTAAAATTAATTAAACGCAACACTGGTTCTAAGAATCCACACACGACCGCAGCAATCAACATAAGTATCTCTACACGTTATATCGATTTACCGGCTTTTAACATGTGGTCTAAACAAATAATCCGCATCTCTACGCAATCATCGCTCACAAATCATTTAATTAGTGATCAAGTAATTAAAAGCATTAAGCACAACATTAAAATCAACGCATAAGATATAAAAGCACTAGAATCTTAAATCAACGAAATAAAGGGTTCCAAATAAATTACGTTGTTCGCCCTAAATTAAATTTAGCTACTCATGTTTATAGAGGAAAAACAAGATAAATTCATGGAAGACATCACCCGGTTTAATAGACGGAATGTGATTAAATTTTTTTGAAACGTGAATCTGCCATCTTTTGTATCAGTTTCTGCGCGTATTGATTTCACCAATAAGCAGTCCGATTTCTCCCAATTTATGTTCAACCGTCCCCTTCCAGAATAGGTTCCAGCCGTCCACTTTTATCTCCGTCGAGTTGCAGTCAATTGGGTGTATATAATAATGTAATTCCAGCAACTGATTTCTGACCTTTTTTTAGTCCCCAAGCTGGTGCCAATTCTTTTGTATCTCTCCCTCCGAAGCTTCTCAATTTCCCCGTGTGTGTTTTCTCCAATTTCAGCAACAAATCAGCCTTAATGTTCTGGTCTTCTCCCCAAAGCAGCTCAATTTCTGTGTATTAATCCCAGCTGCTGCCGTCTATTTGTGTGTATGTAAATATAACAATTGCTGGCAGCTTCAATTCCTCCTCTCGATTTCCGTATG